GGGGCATGCACCTATAATCCCAGCGACTCAGGAGGCTGAGGCAGGAGAATTGCTTGAAGCCGAGATCATGCTACTGCACTCTAGACTGGGCAACTGAGTGAGACTCTATCTCAATAAAAAAACTAAACAAACAAATAAATAAAAATACAATTATCAGTATGTCCAAGAGATATCTGCCCTCCCATGTTTATTTCAGCAATATTTTCAACAGCAAAGATACAGAATCAACCTAAGTATTTATCAATGGATGAACGTATGTAAAAAAAACCATACATATATACAATGAAATACTATTCAGCCTTTAAAAAGCATCAAATCCTGTCATTTGCAGCAGTGTGGATGAACCTGGAGAAAATTAAGTCCCAAAAGCAATTGCAACAAAAGCAAAAACAAAAACAAAAGTTGACAAATACAAGCTAATTTAACTAAAAAGTTTTTGCTTAGCAAAAGAAACTATCAACAGAGTAAACAGACAACCTACAGAATGGGAAAAAATATTTGCACACTATGTATCCAGCAAAGGTCTGATATCCAAAATCTGTAATTTAAACAAATTGACAAGCAAAAATCCAGCAACCCCCTTAAAACTGGGCAAAGGACATGAACAGACATTTTTCAAAAGAAGACATACATGCAGCCAATAAATGAAACATATGAAAAATTGTTGAATATTACTAATCACTAGAGACATATCAATCAAAATCACAATGCAATACCATTTCTCACCAATCAGTATGGCTGTAGTAAAAAGTCAAAAAATAACAGATGTTAACAAGTTTTAGAGAAAATGGAACGCTTATACACTGCTCATGGGAATGTAAATTAGTTCGGCCATTGTGGAAAGCAGTTTGCTGATTTCTCGAAACACTCAAAGCAGAATTGTCATTTGACCCAGCAATCCCATTATTGGGTATATACCCAAAGGAATATAAATCATTCTACCATAAAGACACATGCACATATATGTTCACCACAGCACTATTTACAATAGCAAAGTCAGAGAATCCACCTAAATGCCCATCAATGGTAGACTGAATAAAGAAAATGTGGTGCAAATACACCATGAAATATTTCACAGCCATAAAAAAGAATGAGATCATGTCCTTTGCAGCCACATGGATGGAGGTGGAGGCCATTATCCTAAGTGAACAAACACAGGAACAGAAAACCAAATGCCACGTGTGCTCATGTATAAGTGGGAGCTAAACACTGAGTACATATGGACACAAAGAAGGGAAGGACAAACACCAGGGCCTACTTGAGGGTGGATGGAGGAAGAAGGGTGAGAATCAAAAAACTCCCTATCAGGCACTATGCTTATTACCTGGATGATGAAATAATCTGTACACAAACCCTGTGACACACAATTTGCCTATATAACAAACACATGTGCTCTTGAGCCTAAAATATAAGTTTTACAAATTTCAAAAGTTGTTTTCTTTGAAGTAAAGAATGGAATAGTGGTTACCAGAAGCTGGGGAGGGTATGGGGTAGGGAAGGATGGAGAGAGGTTGGTCAATGTGTAAAAAGTCACAATTAGGAAGAATATGGTTTGGTGTTTTTTTACACAGTAGGGTGACTATAGTAAATATCAATGTAGTATATATTTCAAGATAACTAGAAGAGAAGATTTTGAATGATGCCACCACAAATAAATGAAAAATGGTCAATGTGATGGATATGGTAATTGCTCCCATTCGATTATTATACTATATAGTATACTTATATTGACAATCACATTGTATCCTATAAATATATACAATTATGTGTCAATTACAAATTTTAAAACTAAGGGTTTAAAAAAAAAGACTCTGCCCAAAATTTTAAAAAGGCTCAATTTAGAGAGACATAACAATTGAGATGCAAAGCAAAAGGCAGTACTAGATAGAGGTTAGAAACCAAGTGACAGGGAATCAAAGACAGAGCATCTATTTTCTCACTTGGAGCTTGAAGAACCCATATAGAAGCACCATTTGAACTGGGACTTAAGTAATACATAGATAAGCAGAGGAGGAGGGGGTGACAGAGAAAATATCGGGGATTTTAGGCAGAAGGATCAGAGCGAACAAAGAGTTAAGAAAAGTGAATTACAATGGTCCCATGTGGCTATATCTGAGTACTCATGAGGTGGGGACATAGTGGAAATATATCAAACTGGCAAGATCAGTTCAGATCAGATCACACAAGGCTTTACATGTTAGGCCCACGAGTCAGACTGTAATGAGTAATTAGGAGCCACCAAAGACTCCTGGGCAGAGGAAGAGGCATGATTCAACCAAGTTATGGCAAATGTCAAACAGGAAGGTCAACTCTAATGAAACTTTAAGGGAGGGACTGGATATAGGATGACCAGCTAGCAGGTTACTGAAATAGTTTCAGTACTCTATTTCAAAGAAATTATGAGGGTCTATATTAAGACAGCAGGAATAGAAAGATCTGATAATGGAGACACCAAGAAAGTAGATAGAATCTGCATGACCGATTAGGTGAGCAGTGTAGATTCAAACATGATTCCGAGGTTACTAAACCAGGTGACTGGAAGGGTTGTTACATTGTTAACTGCGATTGAGAACAGGGGAAGGGGAACAGTTTACAGATACTTGCAAGCGTGTGGCAAGTATCAAAATGCTTAGAAATAGGTCTTTTATATGACTAGAAAGCTAATTCCAGTTTTTTAGTAGTTGGACTGTATATAGCATGTGTGAATATATATTGTGAGGACTGAAACACAGCATTGTTCCTAATATGTAGACAATGTACATTTCTTGCCTATCCTTGTTTTTTGTTTTGTTTTTTAACCTTCATCTGACAACAATGGCCAGTATGTTCCTGAGTATCCACCCCTGCCTCATACCCCATATGTTCTAAAAGAAAAAAATGAAATGACTGCTACATTATATAATTAGTCACAACTTTATTACCATGCATTTTCCTGAGAGGTGGCTGTTAGAGAAAAGACAAATAATTTCTTTGAATTTAGTGCCATAGCTAAACATTTAAAGCCTCCAGATAAATAGGAAAAAGGGCCAGTCTCTGGCAAAGTTACCTCCAGACCCATAAGGGATATTTGGGTCATATACTGATATTGGAAGAAGATACAACAGAGGGTCTCTACATTTCAGACTCCTTCACTCCCCATCGTTTTTGATAATTTCCTGGTGTAAAGAGAACAAGGTGAGTCATTAACCTCTATCAAACTGAATGATTACACGAGTCAGTAGAGTTATAAAAGGGCTTAACTAAATTGCTATCATGTAAAAATAGTGTCTTTTGGAACATTAAGGACCTGTAATAAAATCCTTTGAATGAAATTTTTAAATTAATAACTTGAAATAAAGAGAGAATCTTAGCATACTATGAGATTTTTTATTTTTGGCCTCATCTTTTGGAAACTTTGGCTACTGAGGACAATACATTTAAGGGATTACTTGAGTAATAATTTTACTATGTACATTGCCATTTAAGTTTTGTACTCTTAATTTGAAAATTAAAACTGTGAATACTATTTTAATATTTTCCTTAGAGATGGCTATTAGAGAAAAGACAAATAATTTCTGTGATTTCAGTGCCATAGCTAAAAATTTAAAGTCCCCAAATAAATAGAAAAAAAGGGCCACTCTCTGGCAAAATTACCTCCAGACCCATAAGGGATATTTGGGTCATATACTGATATTGGAAGAAGATACAACTGAGGGTGTCTACAATTCAGACATTCAATATTTTTGTATTTAAATTCAAATCTAAAGGTCCTTATAGAGTTGTATGTGTGTAGATGTATTTATTCCAGATTGGAGTTTGATCATTAACCTAGATTAGCACCTTAACTTAATGTCAGTGGGAGGTTTCTCTGGTTGGTTCTACCTTAACATTCAACAAGTGCTATTCTTTTGCTTAAGATTATTGGTCTTAGGTCATATAAACTAGAAGGAATATAAACCTTGATAAGCATTGGAATAGCATGAGCAATCTGACATTCTTACAACATTGGGAAGGATACCTTCCATACTTTATTTTTTTCCACAAAACTTACATTATTGGTAGTAGAGGGTAGACATTATAAATAATTAAACCTCTAGCAATAAGATTCGTCTGATTTTAGGCTTGCTTGTCTTTAACTGGTAGTGAATAGAAATGTACATTTCTATATGTTATCTTCATTGCTAACCTGATTAGGTCCATGTAAATTCTTAGAACACCTTGAGCAAGTTTGATATTGCTTTTGAGGATATAGAAAAATGGTACATCATGGGCATATGTTTAGGTTGCACATTTGAGTTTGTAAACATTGTTTGGCTCAAATTACTATCCCGATATGTAAATCATTATACATGTTAGTAGTGAGCTCATGAGATAATTTATCACTTCATAAATTGGGAAATATGTCTGTATTTCCCAAGTCTTAGGTTCCCTATAATGTAAGTCCTATTTTCTACAATTTGGGGGACTATTTGTCTTTAAGCAAGCCTTCATATAAGCTGCAAATTGGGTCTCAAAGGCAACGCTGTTGAAAAATAGATAGTTAATCTGAGGAGGGGAAGGGGTTTGTTGTAGCTTCCTTACTTAATTATGAGTTCCTTAAGATCACTAACCAAATCTCATACATGTTTCTATAGCCTACAACTTTTATATAGATAGTAGGTGCTCAAAAATGTTAATTGAAAGAATGAGTATCCTTCCTTTGTCTCATTGAGACCCATTTAAATTTGTATTAGCAATTGGGTTTGTATACTAAGAATGTTTCACCAAACCCCGTCTCTACTAAAAATACAAAAATTAGCTGGGCATGGTGGCACATGCCTGTAGTCCCAGCTACTCAGGAGGCTGAGGCAGGAGAGTTGCTTGAACCCAGGAGGTGGAGGTTGCAGTGAGCGGAGATCGCGCCATTGCACTCCAGCCTGGATAACAAGAGAATAACAAGAGAGAAACTCCGTCTCAAAAAAAAAAAAAAAAAAAAAGAGAATGTTTCACCAAACTAAAACTGAATTTGTTTTCTTTCACAGGTGCAGGAGACATTGTTGCAATCATGATCGGCAATCTGAAAGGCACGAAAATTCTACAATCTATTCAAAGAGGCATACAAGTGACAATGGTCATAGAAGTAGGGAAAAAACATGGCCCTTGGGTGAATCACTATTCAATTTTTTTTGTTTCCGTGTCCTTTTTTATTATTACGGCTGCAACTGTGGGCTATTTTATCTTTTATTCTGCTCGAAGACTACGGAATGCAAGAGCTCAAAGCAGGAAGCAGGTTTGTAATGGTATTTTCTTCCAATATTAAAAAAAATCACTGTTCTAATTGTTTTGGGGTCATGCATTTTAATACATTTTAATTGCTAGACAATGATCTCTGCATATGTTTTATGAAATCTGGTCGTTTTTAAAAGTGCATCAGCTCTTCTCAAATGTTTTATTTTCTATGTTTGTCAAAGAACTTAATCCAGCCTGATTAAGTCTTCTAACACTCCGTTAGAGATCACAGCCAGGACTTAATCATATATGGGTATAAATATATATGTTCTTTTAAATAAACATTTTTCTAAATTACAAAAACATTCCACGCTTAATGTAGAAAATTAGGACATTAGAAACTAAATAGGAAAAAAAAGCCACCTAAAACCTGATATAGCAATATAACTATAGGCATTGCCGAAAGGTAACCACTATTATTTTATGTGTATGTGTGTATTTGCATGTAGGGGTGGGGCTGAGAAGAGAAACTGGGCTGAATGTTATGAGAAGACAGGTTAGAAGATCTAATTGTGCATGATATGCTGTTAGGCTCCAAACAGAGTCAAATATTAATAGTTCCTACCATATTATAACAGTGTATAAAAAGGTACAAGGTATAGAAATAACAGAGCAAAAGCACCAAAGCATTATTGAACAGTAAAGTACCTGTTGTTGGATGGCATTGATCCTGCCACCATTAAACTGTCCCCCTCAGCCCCCTGATACCCTTACATCTCTCCTTCCCCAGTTTAAATTCCATGGTCACTCACATGCATACATCTTCGGTTCCCTTGGCCCTTCTTTCTCTTTGTTATAGTTGCTGGCAAAACAAATCCAGCCCTGGTTAAATCTGAAGTATCAGAAAAGTGTTTCCAGCTGTACTGACTGATCTCACTTTAAATTCGTGACCATAAATTCAGAGTGGGTCCTTAATGCTACCAATGAATCACACTATGTTTTCTTGGCCATTTACTCTCCTACTGTTGACTAAACATATGTGTTCCTTTCCCTTTCTCCAGCACCTCCTCCAGCTTTGCTCTCAATTTGTATCTTATTTTACTGAGAAAATTGAAGCCATCAATAATAATTCTACGTATTCTCATCTATCTGCATCTGAGTCTATCCTATTCCTCTGCCTTGTCTTCTGTTATTATGGATGAACTGTTCCTTGGCAAAGGCTAACTCTTTCACTCATGTACAGGATTCTTTTTCCCTTTTGTATACTCAACGACGTCACTCCAGAAATTTTCTGCTCTCACTCTCCTACTTTAACAATTTCTCCCTCTCCTCTGGATCTTTTCCATCAACACGCAAACATAGTATTATTCCTCCCATTTTCAAAAGATTTTCTCTTGACCCCAGGCCAAAAACCCTGAAGTTGGTCTTTATTCCCTTGTTTTCTCTCACCTCCCATGTAAACTCTAACAGCAAATCTTGTTATTTCTACCTTCATTATATATCCATAATTTGATTATTTCTTATCACCTCCATTGCTTCCATGCAGTCAAAGCCACCATGATTTCTTACCTCCTCCTCCTTTCAGGTATTCTGAGTGTAACAGCAGTATGGTGTGACACTTCTTTAGAAAGCTCAGTAGGGATTTAATGTTTTCAGATGAAAATAAATTTTTGATATGTACTGAGAAGTTTCCCTCAAGGCAGTTAATTTCTGGCCACTTCATGTAATCTTTCTCCAATAAGTGAAAAGAACTCAATCTATTTGGGGGGCGGAGGGACCAGTTAGGATTTTTATATAGCAAGAAAGTTAATTGAATTTAGGAACAGATGAGAAATTAAAATGTTGTTATAAAAACTTCATAAAGATTAGATACCAGCATATGGTAATAAGTGATGGTTATCTCAATGTTTAAAGTTAATTGACTTCTATCCTTCTGCTTAGAGAAGCAGCTTATCACATTGGTGGCGGGTTCAGCCTGATACTGGCTACGGTCAAAAAGACGTTTAAAATTCCTGTGCCAGGCCACTCAGTATTTTCACACTGTGTTAATATTTGACATTTGTATATTGTGCTGTTTTTATCTGCAAGGCTGGAAGGAAATTGGCGTCCAGTGTGACAAACTACTCAAAGGTTATAATTACAATGACAAGAGTGTTTGGTTTGCATATGTTCATGGTGGGATATGTGTTTCTTTATTCTCAGAGCTATAATAAATTTATTAACATGGCATTAGACCCCATCAGAAAATAATAAGGCTTATAAAGAAATTTGCCTGGTGTTAAAGAGCTTCATTGGACATTTAGCTCTGTTCTCCTCACTTATTTCATTTTCATAGTTTATAATACATTTTATGAAAATTAACCTCTGTAGAAATTGTCAAGAATAGCATTAAAACTTCTCATCTATTGGAGAAGGCTTTTGAAGGGACTTTTAAAAATTACTTAATGGACTATATCTTTTTGTCCTTTTGGGACTAAAAGATTAAATATACGGCTGATAATCCTTTTAGCTTATAAATATTTGAGGGCGCTAGAAGGTCATTTATATATTTAATTTTAATGACTTAGTTTTAATTTTTAAAAGGTAGCACTTAACGCATATGCTGATTATAACTATCACTAAACATTTAACTGTTTTATTTCCATTTTACTGATAGAAATGTTGATGAAGTTGAGTTATGGAAATTTGCCTTTATTAGAATGTTAGGCAAATTTAATATATTCAAGAAGTTCTTCCTTCTGAAGGTTATGATACATGGTATATAATGTCAGGCAACTGATAACTGTGTAACCATAAATTCTGATGGCTGAATGCTCAGATGAGTCTTAGATGGAATAGCCTGATCTGTGGCAGTGTGATGTGTAAGAACACATATCATCCCTATATTGTACATACAAAGTTTTTAAACAGAACAAAAATGTATTAACGGATTATAAATGAAAATAACATATTAGACCTTATAAGCTAGATTTGTGTCCCTGCCAGGAACAACCCTAACTTGAGACAAGAAATATTATGGGAAACCTTATGGCATACACAGATTAAATTACATTTGGGAGTGATCCCTAAACACTTGACTGTAGCATGGGTTACCAAACATTTTGGGGTACAGTACATGTATCCTAACTGTATTCAAGCAGTTAATACTCAATAACAACAATGCATCTGCTGGATTAAACACTGACCAGTGAAACAAAAGAGACCTATAGGTAGGTGAAATAGGAGCTGACCTGGCTATAATGGGAAAAGCTGAATTTACGTTTAATGAAGAGTGACTTTCAGAAAAGGATTACTAACTGAAATAGACAGATTATAAGGAAATCATCTTCCAAGAGGAGGGAAAAGAATGGGAATCCGCTTGGAAAGGTCATAAAGCTTTGACAAAATGATCACACAGATCTAACACATAATGCTAGGGAATGCTAGGAATCAATATTGGGGAAGAAAATATGTTCTAACACAACAGAGTCTATTAACTATTTTACTTTAAAGTGAGCCCTAAGTAGCCATGGGGGTAATGGCTTTTCATTTTTAGCTGTGAAAGCTCAGGCAGAGAATCTTTGAGACACATGCAGATCCCCAAATTCATGGATTTTTTTGATAAAATTGCAACTTGCACTGCTGATTTCTGGCTGATCTTGACCAAAGGATGGACCAAAATAAGGCTAGTAGGAATAGAACTAATACTGAATGGTACCCATGTACTCTCAGGGTAGGGAAATGGCCTTGCTGTACAAAGTTAACCATAACCTATAACTTTATAATAATGTAAGTTGAGACAAATGATTGGTTTTGTCCCCAGGTAACATGGAACATAGAAATGACAGAATAATTGCCACTGGAGACAGCATTTGTTTCTCATCGTATCTGGTATACGGGCAAAGGCTAATTCTTCTAGGAAGGTTTAATAAATATTTCTGTGACATTTCCGGATTTTGTTGTAACCAAACCAAACTGTACCATAACCATATTCTGATATGGTATAATACTGGTATTGTTAGTAAAATTCAACTATCTTATATAAACAAATCACATGCTAATCAAATTTATTTGAGAAATTGAACTAAAACTCCTCACAGTGTGATACCAAGGTAGAGTGACTGGCATGAAGAAGAATTAGAATGATTTAGTGGATTACTATATTGCATACCTCTTTGCAAATTTATCACAAAGTTCAAGTGGTCATAGATCAAAGGAATAAATTGATAATTAAATTGGTATAACAATGTAAAGATGCTTGTGACGGTCTTATAAACTGGATGAATTGTTCCTTTGAGCCTGTTTCTACTCCTTGTTGGCTTCTGCAAGTATTAGATATACTTATGTTGTTCATATGGCACCTTATATGTAAATGCTGTGCTAACTGAACAGTATATACGGTTGACCTTTAACAACTTGGGTTTCAACCACATGAATCCACTTATACATGGATATTCTTCCACTTCTGCCACCCCTGAGGCAGTAAGGCCAATATATCTTTTTCCTCCTTCCCAGCCTAGTGAATGTGGAGGAAGAACGATGCAGACCTTTGTGATGATCCATGTCCACTTAGTGAAGAGAAAATATATTTTCTCTCACACCTGTCATAGCAGCACTTTGGGAGGCCAAGGCAGGTGGACCACTTGAGCCCAGGAGTTTGAGACCAGCCTGTGCAACATGGCAAAACCCTGTCCCTGCAAATAATAGAAAAATTAGCTGGGCACAGTGACTGTGCACCTGTAGTCCCAGCTACTTGAGAGTCTGAGGTGGGAGAATCACTTGGGAGGCAGAGGTTACAGGAGCCGAGATCATACCACTACACTCCAGCCTGGGTGACAGTGAGACCCTGTCTTTAAATATATATATTGTTTTCTTCCTTATGATTTTCTTAATAACATTTTCTTTTCTCTACTTTATTGTACAAACACAGTGTATGATTTATATAACATACAACATACATATTAATTACTGTTTAGGTTATCAGTAAGGCTTCCAGACAACAGTAGACTATTAGTAGTTAATTTTGGAGGGAGTCAAAAGCTATACATGGAGTCTTGGCTGCATTGTGGTCAGTGCCCATAA